CTGATGGGTCCAGTCGAAACGTGGTTCCGCTTATAGACATCATTTGCTGCATGCTAAGCCTAGACGTTTTATGCGTTTTCATATAGCCTAACGTATTCTTAATAGGCATGTCTCAATTTTATCCTTCTCAGTACCAACCGTTTCAACAATGACTAAATGAGTAAGATCCACATCTCGTGAAGTCACTCCAGCAATAGAATCAAAAACTCAAGTTACATGTCCCTGGAGTCTCTTAGAACTGTTCATCACAGGCCTGTCATGGTACCCAAATGAAGCAAGTTATTGAAAGAACCATCATGACTTCTACGTTTGGATTTATCTTATTTACACACTACATTATGAAACACTAGTAATAATGCAGTGCAGATTCGTCTGTGTGAATGATGTGGCCTTAAGGAGGAAGACCATTTAAGGGAGGACAGAAATTCGCTGCTCACTGTAGCTTAGCGTTCAATGGCGGATTTCAGTGCTGTACGAAAACTATCCTTGACATCAAGTGCGATGAATACTTTTATACGTTACTGACAGCTTTCAAGAGCATTCATGCTCTTAATTCATTCTGTAAACCAGCTACTAACCACTTGAGTATCTGCTAATGAAATTATTCAAAGACGCAAACATAAGTGACTGTCGTTGACTGTCGTGCTGCAACTCTTCTGGAATACAGCGCTACAAGAGCCTTTCCACGTTTATCTACGACTTACGCGTTCCTTAAAGCCATGGTCGTACATTGTCTCATGTGCAATTGGTACAACTTTATCCATAATATACTCTGAAATTGGTCCAGCATTTTGTCCCATAATCATATAGCAGCACTACCTGAACATGATAACATTCTGATATGTAAATATTTAAATGTATATTGGTGAGTTAACGTAAACAAATAGAGCAAACAGTATAGCACTACAACTCTTCTGCAATTTCGCGGTTTCTGACACATAGCGCTGCATAACGACCAGAGTCATTGTTAGGACCAGCCTACCTTCTGCCTATGCTATCGAAGACAAACATCTATCAAAATAAGCGACTGCATAATAGAGTCACCTTGTGCCAATGTAACGATGATTGAATTTTGTGAACTTTGAAGTGGTCAGCTAAAGTGGTAGCAGTACCCACGAGATGACATGCTTCACTATACACTTAAGACGATTTATTAGGAGGAAAGTTCTATCTACGATCAGAGGGAGGATAGATTGAAAGGCTTTCCTGCATTTTGTTCTGAATCTATCAATGCAAAATCGTTTCCTTGTGCTCTCTAAGAAATTGATTGTCTTATAGTATGCTGTTAAAACGATGTTACCTTTGTATAATTCGATGCTCTAAATTGAAAGAGAAGTTCGCAACAGAAATTTTACTGATGTAGATTGAAAGAAGCATCAGTTTTGCTACCGGTTCAACTGTAGGCTTGAATATGTCTATCACCGTTGGAATGACGTTCTTATTCTTTATTGATGAATAAGCCTGGTGCGCTTAAGGAGAGACACCTCAATATAGGTACGAAACTGCTCAGTAGACTGACCTCAAACCTAGAAGGAATATGGCTGCCCAGTGACGAA